GGTCGATTTTTTCAAAAAAGGAAAATTTTCTCAAAACGTCTTAAATTTTACACCAATTTCTCACGTCGAAAGGAATCCATTGAGAGTGAATTTGAACTCACTTTCCCCGATCATTGCCTGAACAGTGAGAATAGAGCCAAAAAGTTGTACAGGGCGTCTCAGAAATAAAACCGTCAATGCAGAACAAACGTGAAGAACATATAAATGTATGTACATGGGCCTGGCATATAAAAGCGTCGTGGACACGCTGGTTTCTGCTCATCTAGAGCTGGTGGAAACACACTGGAGTATTTGATTTGATTGTTATAAACGTCTTGAAAACACTGCATACTGTTGATTGGTGCGAGCGGAACTTGGCCTACGTGGACGATGGCATCATTTGCATTGCAAATGTTCGCGAGCAAATAACATCGACTTGATATTAGCAGTAGGAACTAATTGATCACGTGGCTCTCCACGATACCTCAAACGTGATCATTGACTGGGGATCATGAGCGAATTAAGCTCGCACGTCACTCGCCAGTTCCCCCCCGAAAAAAGGACGGCTCTGAGCCCGCTGAGCCCCTTTGCCGTCTGATCCGGACATTTGGAAAATCGGCACGTGTCCAAATATTTACGTTTCCTTGAAACAAGCAGGAGGAAAGCGGATCGATTGGCATTCCTGCAGGCAATTGTTCACTTTTCCTTTTCGATTCGGTCGCATAGCCTTGGTTGAACAGAGACGGAGGCTCGGCCACTGTCGTAGCTGAGGGGACATTCTCACGTGGACTACAGCGTGGCTGTCCATTGGTATCAGTTCAGTTCGCAGTGGTTCCAGCTCGGGTGGCAAAATAGGCGAAAATCGCCACCGAATCGCCACCGATTCGCCAACAAGCACGTCCAGGACTTCTGATCCGCGTATCTGTCCCGTGCGAAAGACACTAATAAATGCGCACGTGACCCCCATTCGTTCCAGTGGCAGTGATAACGGAATCAGTGACTATTATTATGGAAATGTCCCATGTTTACTGGGAAGAGAATTCCAATATACAGCGCGTAAAGCACGAAAGGTAAGCGAAAGCCCTGCCCATCTCGGCACTTTTATTGATTGCACGGACGGTGAAAGTTTGCTGGCCAGATAAAAAACCATCTCATTTTCGTGACGTAAATGCGACGTCTGTACAGATTAGCCGCTATCATCATGTTTAAAAGTGATCGCACACTATTTATAGATGCGAGTAAATTCAATATAAGGTGGTTATAAGCGCGTAGCACCGCCCCGGCTCGGTTTAAGTCCCAAATTTTTTTATTTCTTTCATCAAACTTCTGCTCAGAAACGGTGGGAAATTGGCGTCATTCCTTTTAATCGGTATTTTCTAGAAGATATTAACAGCTGAAAATCGAATTCCAACTTTGTAATTAAGCATTATTTTAAACTGGTTCCATGTTTAATTGGAATACGTACAATTTGCGAACATTTTTGATATTAAAAAAGTCCTCTTCTACAATTTTTTGACGAAAAGTCAAAGCGGCAACGATGTTTTTTGGCATCAACAGATAGTGACAGGTGGACAGCCCTTGTCAGGAATAACAGATATTTGTCAAATTACGCCAACAAATGACGATAGTGGACGACAATTGAACACCGGTACAAATTGAGCAGGAGTTAGTTAACCGATTACGCGCACTTGTTTGGAGTTGCAGACTCAAATGTATGTTTTTGTCATTTGTAGACAAATTAATAATTCGACGTTATGACTTGCGTCCTTCCACGATTCCTGTTGAGATTGTCGGTTATCCTCGTCTATCTTATTGTCACTTTCTCTATTTATCCCTGATTACTCGAGTTTTAAATAATTACGAAGCAACAGGTATTTACGCAAGGTTAATTAGGCAGATTACCTTGAAAAACATTGTTGCCG